TAATGCAAGAAAAAATGAGATAAAAGACACAACCATCAATTTTAAACTTTCTTTTCCTCTTGTTATTGTGTTCCTGTTCCTTTTCCAAAAATAGAGGGTATTTTTTGATGTGCTTGCTATGGTCTGAATGCATCTCCTCAAATTCATGCATAGGAAACTTTATCCCCAGTGTTGGAAAGTAAGATCAATTAGGAAAAGATTCTACTGGGGGAATCTAATGGTTTAAGGATATTACCAGGCTTCTTAAAGAGTAGATTCACTCTGGTCTACTCTTCACCCTGTAAGGATGCAACACAGCAAGAACATTCTCACCAAATGTGGTACCTTGGTTGTGGACTTCCCAGTCTCAAAAACTGTAAGAAGTTTGCTATTTCCTACAATTACCCAATCTTAGATATTGTTCCATCAACACAAATGGATCAAGACAAATGGTCCTTAATGTAAAGGGCCAGAAATGCAGAACCCAGACAATTCTACGCTTTTTTTTTATATTATATTCATCCCCAAACAAATTTCATACAAATTAAATTGATGTCTTCCTAGTTACACATCTGTTGAGTTTATATACATATAAACAACATTTTGTTACCTTTCTAGTAAATGCAACCACTATTCATGCAGGCCCCCAGATTTGTTGACTTTAACAGAAGCTGGAGAAGGAAAAACCAGCAAACACAAATATTAAGACAATGAGGAACAAAAGTTATTCTAGTACTTAAAGTTTATGTAAAGGACAGACCAGTGGTTCATGCCTGCAATCCTAGGAGCTACAAAGGTAGAGATCAGGAGGATTACAATGCCAGTCTAAGCATAAATACCAGACCCCCATCTCAATCACAATCGGAAGTGTTGGTACATGCCTGTCATCCTAGAGATATGGGAACAATAAGGTGAATCCAAAGATCAGGTGTATGAGATTTGTATTTTAAAAATAATGTAGAAGGGCTGGGAAGGTGGCTCAGTGGTAGAGCGCTTGCCTTGCATGCATGAGGCCCTGGGTTCGATTCCTCAGCACCACATAAGCAAAAAAGAAAAAAAGCCGAAAGTGGCACTGTGACTCAAGTGGTAGAGCGCTAGCCTTGAGCTGAAGAGTTGAGGGGCAGCGCCCAGGCCCAGAGTTCAGGCCCCACAACCGGACCAAAAATAAAATAAAATAAAATAATAATAAATAAATAAATAAAAACAATGTAGGAGCCAGGTACTTGTGGCTAATGCCTGTAATCCTAGCTTCTCAGGAGGCTGAGATCTGAGGATCGTGGTTCAAAGCCAGCTCCGGCAGGAAAGTCTTTACCTCCAATTAACCACCACAAAACCAGAAGTAGTGCTGTGGCTCATGTGGTAGAGCACTTGCCTTGAGCTGAAGAGCTCAGGGACAGTGCCCAAGATCCAGAGTTCAAGCCACATGATGGACAAAAACAAACAAACAAAAAAATACCTGACAAAAAATAATGTAGGAAGAAAGAGCCTAAGAGGTATAGTGCTGGCCTTACAAACACAAGGTCCTGAATTAAACTCCAAGAACCACCAAAAGGGGAGGGGGGAAAAACAGTTCATGCTAAAAAGTTTCCTAATGAGCAGGAGGTAGCAAGGATCTTTTCAGGCAACTAAAGTCCAAATCTAATAAGCAACAAATGCATGCAAATGCTAACAAAAAACAAAACTGGAGAAGGCTCATAGACATTCCATCCTTAAAACCATGGTTAACTAAATCTTATTTTGACTACTACGAGAAGAACCCCAGAATTTCTATCTTTGTGAACTTATTTAGATTTAAGTTCTCTAGGCCTGTTTACTTCTAAAGTGAGTATAATAGTCAATCCAATGTCAGAACTACCTTGGTGTGTAATGCAAAGCATAGGTCTTATTCTAAAGTCTTATCTTCAAATTCTATCACTGTTATGGCTATGATTTTTCCACTTCTACAATAACTGGGTTTATTAGGAATACAACTAGACAGGTCTAAATGTAGTTTTTTTAATATTACAAAAATTTAAATCAAGCAGATAATAAGCACTTGACACATCACCAAGAAATTAGGTGATAGTATCCAACTTCTTTAGAGCACTGGTTAATACAAACAGTACCATTCTACTGAACAGCAGATCAGAATGACAAAGGGCTTTTTTGTTGTAGCTGTTCCAGATGCTTTGATGGCAAAGCCAAGGTCAAGCTTATGTATCACTTATTACTAAAATGCTACAAGTTTACACTACATGTGTACCTTAAAAATGTATTATGAGGGGCTGGGAAGATGGCTCAGTGGAAGAGTGCTTGCCTTGCGGGCATGAAGCCCTGGGTTCAATTCCCCAACACCACATAAACAGAAAAAGCCAGAAGTGGCATTATGGCTCAAGTGGTAGAGCATTAGCCTTGAGCTGAAGAGCTGAGGGACAGCGCCCAGGCCCAGAGTTCAGGCCCCACGAGCGACAGAAAAAAAAAATAGTAATAATGTATTATAATGTCAAATATACTACCTACACAGCACTCAACTATATTCAAAGAGACTTCAAATTCACTAGACCCCCTAAGAGTGGAGAACTAAGAAAACAGAAAAAGAATGAAACTCAAGGCACGCTTACTTTTCTCTTCCAAAATTTAACTCTTTCCAATTGACCTACATAATTAGCAACCCAATTACTATGGAATTTGTCAAATTCTATTCAAAACAATGTAAGATTTAAAGTACAAACCATTAAGAATAAGAATTTTCTTCCACTAAACTCACTTCTCACCAATCAAAATATAACAGGTTTTTCTCCTACTGCAGTGAATGTCTTTTCTAAAAATTGTGATAAAATTTTGCTGACAAATTACATTAGAGAAATCACAATATACTAACTTCTTATGTCTTTGAAAGTAAAACTTATGCCTCAGTATCAATATTAAATAGGTAGCAACACAAGCTTTCAACCTGCTGGCAGAAAGGCTCTTCACTTTCTGTCACATCTTGTCCTTACACTCTAAAATACTTTTGTGGATTTGAATCTGTTGATTAATAATCATGAGATTAATGGGTCAGACATATCTGAAAGATGAACAATAGCTTTCAGAACATTGCATAAGGATGTAACAAGTTTAATTATGAATGTTTTCCCACTGCATAAAATTTTCATTATGCAAGTTAACAAGACTACACACAACAGATAAATTTTCTGGAATATGATTGTCTACCACCAAAATTAAAACCAGATCAAACTGTAAAACTTTAAAAGTTTATACAAAAGAACAGTAACAAACCAGGAGCCTTTAAGGGAAGCTGGTAAGGAGACTCCTCACAAGTTGCAGCATCTTTTATGAAGCATTAAAAGCCTCTGCCTTCTTTTGTATGAACTGTCATATTACCATTCTTTGAGCCAAGTAGAGCAATTTAAGCTTTTCTTTCGCTGATGGACTGAATGTCACACAATCATCATGCCAATATAAAGCTTTGATGTGAATTTCATTTATGATCACAGTATTTGGGGGAAATCAAGGTAACAAATACTTGGCTGTGTAGCTATGGGTGGCTTGTTTTGGGACAGATAAAAAGGGTGCCTTCTATTTGATTTTTATGAGTACAATGCATGTTGATCAATGTCACACCTTCCATATTCTCTGGGGAAAAAAAAGCCAGGCACCAGTGGCTCACACCTGTAATCCTAGCTACTCAGAAGGCTGAGATCTGAGGATCATGGTTTGAAGCCAGCCCAAGAAAAATAATCGCCGTTAAGACTCATCGCCAAATAACCACTCAAAAAACAGAAGTGCAGCTGTGGCTCAAAGAGGTAGAGTGCTAGCCTGGAGCAAAAGAGTTCAGGGACACATGGTTTCCCTTATTTGCAATATCTAGTATATGTCTGAAAAGGTCAGATAAGGGGATGTTAGGGAAATGAACCCTAAGATATGTATTCAAATGTTTTTTTTTTCTTTCATGTAATTGTTTCTAACACATTTATAAGATTATTTCTTTGTTGCTTTGTATGTCCCTCCCCCACAGTATAACCCCTGCTTTCACTGTATTTGATGTGGGTATAATTTGTGGAGGGGAAGGGGAAAAACAAATCGTTTAAATAGGGATACAGGTGGACCCATTGCAACAATGAGATGTACAAGTCACTATGTCAAAAACGAACTTTACAATTTGGGGGGGGCGGGCAGGGAGGACTGGGTGGGGGGCAGTGGAGGATGGGAAGGGATGAGAAGGGGAAACAAAGGAGGAGGCTACAATGCTTGATAAATGTACTCATTATCTTGTCCATGTAATTGTAACCCCTCTGTACAGTATTTTCACAATAAAAAAAAATAAAAATAAAAAATAAAAAAGAGTTCAGGGACAGCACTCAGGCCAAGTTCTAGCCTCATGATTGGCAAAAAAAAAAAAAAAACAAAACACCAATTTTGGACCAGGTATCCAGTAGAAACAAGATGGCTGTTATACAGAATGCTTTTATTTTGTCAAAAGAGAAGTGGAAAAGTTTATACATCAGACACAACTTTCAAGCAGTGCCAAATAGTTTGTAGGTTTTTTTTTGTTGATCATGGGGCTTGAACTCTGGGCATGAGCACTGTCCCTGAGTCCTTCAGCTTAAGGCGCGAGTGCTCTACCGCTTGAGCCACAGCGCCACTTCCGGTTTTCTAGTGGTTTATTGGAGATAAGAGTCTCACGGACTTTCCTGCCCAAGCTGGCTTTGAACCACGATCCTCACATCTCAGCTTCCTGAGTGGCTAGGATTGCAGGCGTGAGCCATCAGCGCCCAGCAGAGTTTGTAATTTTAATCAGCTGTATGTTGACTTTAAAATTATTTTTTTTTTGGGGGGGGGGGGGTCCGGTCGTGGGACCTTAACTCTGGGCCTGGGCGCTGTCCCTCAGCTCTTCACCTCAAGGCTAAGCCCTCTACCACTTGAGCCACAGCACTACTTCCAGCTTTTTTCTTTTTGCATATGTGGTACTGAGGAATCGAACCCAGGGTCTCATGCATGGCAAGGCAAGCGCTCTACCACTAAGCCACCTTCCCAGCCCCTAAAATTATTTTCTCAATAGTGTTTATAACACCTCAGAGTATCTCTACCTTTTCTTGGCAGATATTCCTACTTCTCAAAAACCCCCAAAAGTGGGCTGGGAATGTGGCTTAGTGGTAGAGTGCTTGCCTAGCATGCATGAAGCCCTAGGTTCGATTCCTAAGTACCACTTAAGCAGAAAAGGCTGGAAATGGTGCTGCGGCTCAAGTGATAGAACACTAGCCTTGAGCACAGAGAGGCTCAGAGACAGTGCCTAGACCCTGAGTTCAAGCCCCAGGACTGGCAAGAATAAAAATAAGTCCCAAAAGTGACACAGCAAGAGTACAATATTAATTTGAATTTTTATTATTTTTAATACATACATTTCACAAACAGGAACCTTCTAACACCACACGATTCCATAACCAAATGCTTTGATTTTATCAACATTCTTCAGCTATTTACACTGTCATCCCTCAACAAAAGTGCAATCAAAGACATCTTGACAAATCTTTACAAACAGCGATATATTCTTCAGCTGGTTTTAACAATGTCCACTTGTTATATCTTCTTTCAATCACCTGAAAGAATAATGAAGTCAACAAGACATAGAGATAAACTGAGTTGGGCAGCATCCTATTGAGAAGCCAACTCTCTTCCTCAACCTCCAACTAAAATTATCAACAGCTGCCACCAGAAACTAAATAAGAAAGTAAACTGAGTTAGCAACCTGGGCACAGCAGAGCAGATTGTATAGTAAGCATTGGTCTGGAAGGACTAAGTGAAAGATTTCAGCAAGTTAGTTTTGATCGGCTTACGTTATGCATTAGTCTTTTTTGTGTTTGAACACCTAATCGTATTCTTTCTTGATGAGTTAATTTTCCCCAAAGAGATATCAAAATCCCTTTTATTTAGAAAATAGACTTCTACAAAAATAACTGTAAATATAAAGGGCATTTGAGGAGCTCCTTGTATAATGGGACAATTCAGTGACCTCTCCATTTCATGGCACGATGTGTATCTTTTGAAGTAAAAACCCAGTATATCAACTGCTGCAGATATAACCAGAAAAAAGTACAGCTGAGATGGCCTGTAGGAAAAATAATCAGAAATGGTCTCTTCTCTAAACTAAAGCACATACTTTTATTTGTTCAAGGTATGGAGCTCTTAAAAATGATAAAAATATTAGAGCACATGAAAGAATACTTTGAAACTATTAGTCACTCTAAGACTGTGGTATGTTATTGAACATTATTCATCAGAGAAAAATTGGTTCTTGGGTGATTAACACCCTTTAATATCCTAACTACAATAAAAAGAATGATCTTTCTTGACATATTCCAGTTCTGATCAAGGTGCTCAGGACAAGCTTGAAAGCATTAAGGTCAGCAGATTTCTAAAATAAGATTTATCCTTAGAATGTTGCATACTCAATTGTATTTTATTCTCAAATCAGCCAAATTTCCCCTTTCAGACAAAAACGTAATGTCTTAAAGGCACAGGATACTGAGTATGGTACTCAGTTTTCTCTCTTTTTATATATAACTATAGATCTGTTTCTATAGAGTCCCCACTTTATCATCAAAACAACATCCAAAAGTTTTATCCAATTATACTGAAAGCCCATCATAGTTACTGTTCAGAGGACAGAAAACAATTTGAGGAGAAAACATAGAATACAACATACAGTTAACCCACAGGAATTTTTTTAATAAACTTACTGAATGTAATGATAGGTCAACTTTAAGCTCTGAACAACAAAAAAGCAGGTTTCACTAGAAAAATATAGGTGGTTTAAAGAATAGCATTAAAAATATTTTACCATTTTAAAATCAGAAATAAAATTCAAATAGTTCTCTAAAGAGAAACTTACCAATCTTATACTTAGTGTATAAGAGAATCAGTAGGGAAATAGTTAACTCACAATTACAGTTCAAGGGCTGTATCTTGTAGTTGTATCGAGTACTGTCTGACCAGTGATGATTTTCTGCTTCTCATAGACATTGTGAGCATTTCTTCCCACTATTAACTGAAATTCACTTGCAATAATTGTTTTGAAAGAAACAATGGGGTGGTGGTATAAGCAAAATGAGTAATATAAAATATTCACAAAAACCCCAAATCTGCCTATTCATCAGACTATTTTAGGATTCTTTTAGCATATATAAATATACTGGTAGTTATCATATTTATGAGAAATCATAGTGCAATTCCAATTCTACAAGAGGATAGGGAATCAGTGTACTTAAGTCACCAAGCTCTAATGAACAGAGACAGTATTTTGAAATAATAATCTGACTAATCAAGCTCTATACTCATGACCACCTTTCCATCAGCAGTTAAGGTATCGTGAGGATTCTCAGAATGACATATACTTTTTGCATTTCAACCAGTAATTTTCCAATATGAAACAAACTTTTTAAAAAGTTTCCTATTTTCTCAAACAAATTTCCCTTTCCTTCTTCAGGCCAACTTTTTTGGAAACTCAAGAGTTAAACGTGGTAAATGTGGCTAAATTACCATGGGGAAAGTATGTATGGCAAGGCTGTTTCTGAAGCTCACAGTAAAGTTTTGGGATTGTGAGATGTACCCATGAAAAGGATCTGATACCAAATGGTACTTCAACAGTGAAATTATCACTGCCCAAATCACTTTAAGGAGAATGTGTGGATTCTCCTTAACAGCTACTTTGACCAACTCACAGTGTACCATTTCTGAACTCCTTTTACATAGTCTGCATTATAGGTCAGCTTATCTAAAAATATCTGCAACCCCAAAAGTTTTTATGTCTTATAATTTAGATCTAATTTTCAGTATTGGAATTGATCATTAAAACAGTGAAAGAAACAGCACTCAGGTCCACTTTCCAGTCACCTGTCAGTGAGAGCAAACTGCATGTCAACATGTGCTGCAGAACACTAAGCCAAGATAGCACGACACACTATTAGCTCTCAAGGCTCAGACTTACATTCACTTGTCATATATTATTCCCAATGCTCACAGACGATCTAGAAAGTAGGTCTTTAGAAAGTTAACATTTTAGTAAGAGCTCCCTCCCAAATCCCACTATGCTATTCCATAATAGCCACAAAATCCCTCTCCTAAATTCATCCCATCCTCCCAACTACCTTAAAGATGCAACAGAGACTCTCAGTGAGAGTGAACTCTTACCCAAATGCCCCCTACCTACCCTTCTTAGTTCCAATCCTGACCAAAGACTAACATTTGGGAATCAAGACAGGCAAGGGGTAAACCCCATTTTAGTGGCACAGATATACAAAGTAAACTCTGCTTTAACTTAGAAAAAGAAATGAATGTCACAGAATGTTTCCCTATAAAAGATCTGTAACAAAGTAATAATATCAATAAAATAGCTATTACTAAAGCAAAGCTTTCATCAATAAGCTTCAAGAACTTTGAAGGAGGAGAATGGCTTCACGAAATGGTAGTCCAGGTTCCCACAGTGTGGACACTGCTGGACATTGCTGTATTCGGAGAAGTACTGCATCCCGATCCTCACGTCGATCACGGGTTTGCCACAGTGCTTGCAGTTCAGGCGGGCCTGGGAGAAACAGATGCTGTCAGCCACAATACCTTCAGCTTCACACACCTGTCAAAGGTACCCCAACGAACAACATGCTAGGAACTGAGGGAGTTTGGAAACCCATCTCCTCTCCTACAAAACGGGCTAAAACAAAGCCTAAGACACAATGAAAATTCATTGCCATTAGTCTGGAAATTACTGACTCCAGTTTTCTTTCTGTCTGTAAGGTGCTGCTAGTCCTTTCCTACGAACGAAAAGATCTGCCAAAACTCTCCACCAAAGTTCCCTTAACAACAGGAACCATCTGAGACCTGGATTTTAACAGAGTGGTTGAAGCTGGTAACCGCCCCCCCACACACACATACACACCCCATTCAAACTTGCCTGTAACTTCCTGCAACATTCTGAGTTTATTTCAAAAGTTCAGATACCCTTTTATTTCATTCCAAATGATGATATTCTGTTTTGGTGTAAAAATAAAATTGCCCTAAAATATTCAAGTAAAACTGGCAATCCAGGCAGAAGTGTTTGCTTATCCTGGGGCTTCTGGTACCCACCAGTACTCTGTATCTTCATTCATACACAGGTCTCTTGATACCAGAAGCAGTTTATGACTGAACAACCAGGAGTTTGTTTGTTTTTTTGTCGGTCATGGGGCTTGAACTCTGGGCCTGGGCGCTGTCCCTCAGCTCTTCAGCTCAAGGCGAGCGCTCTACCACTTGAGCTACAGAGCCACTTCCACAACCAGGAGTTTTAAATAAAATGGTCTTTGAAGCTATATTCCTTCTAAAATTGTACTAACAAAAGATAATCTCAATTTGTCCTCAAAACTCTCCTGTGAGGATAGCTAGTAGTATCTGAATTTAGATGATGAAACTGGAGCACATAGTAATAAAGTACCATGCCCAAGACCACACAGTTAGAATTGGGAAGCAGAAAACAGAAGCCTATCCTACACTGTAACCTGAGAACAATTCCATTTTAACCACTACATCCTCTGGACAATTTAAAAGTGAGGTTCTGACCGAACTTCCTTCTTTAGCCTATTATTCCTTTCTTTCTTTCTTTCTTTCTTTTTTTTGGGGGGGGGGGTCCAGTCGTGGGGCCTGAACTCTGGGCCTGGGCGCTGTCCCTCAGCTCTTCAGCTCAAGGCTAACGCTCTACCACTTGAGCCACAGTACCACTTCCGGCTTTTTTCTTTTTGCTTATGTGGTGCTGAGGAATCGAACCCAGGGCCTCAGGCATGCAAGGCAAGCGCTCTACCACTGAGCCACCTTCCCAGCCCCCCAATTATTCCTTTCTGAAAACCAATTTACTGCTTATTTTTAATTCAGATTTATTGAAAGATTTTCCTGGACTCCTTAGTTGTGTATAATTTGTATGGTGATGTCTAACACCTATATTTTCACAGTGATTATCAGCTGAATAAAAATAGTAATAAACAGAAATCAAACATGGTTCTTCATTTAGCTCAGAGGCCAGAAAACATGAGTTTGGGCTTACATTGCTTGAAGGAAAATTTCTTCCTTAGAACACGGGATGCACAGCTGGGTGCAAGAGGCTCACACCTGTAATCCCAGCTATTCAAGAGGCCAAGATTTCTGGACCACAGTTCGAAGCCATTTGGAGAAGGAAAGTCTGTGGGACTCTTATCTCTAATAAACTACTCAAAACAAATACCACCATCACCACCACCACAAGAACAACAAAACTCACAAGTAGAGCTGTGGCTCAAGTGGTAAAGCTCTAGCCTTAAGCAAAATGAAAGTGCTCAGCCCATGAGTTCAAAGCCCCAGGAGACATATGCATGCACATGTACACACATGCACATGCGTGCATGCGCGCGCACACACACACACACACACACACACACACACACACACACACACACACACAAACTAGACTGCTAAAAATATAACTGAATAGCCTGGTGTTGGTGACTCACTCCTAGCTACTCAGGAGGCTGAGATCTGAGGATTGTGGTTCAAAACCAGCCTGGCAGGAAAGTCCATGAGACTTATCTCCAATAAAACCACTCAGAAAACCAGAAGCGGTCCTGTGGCTCAAGTGGTAGAGCACTCTACTTGAGCTGAAAAGCTCAGCAAAAGCGCCCAGGCCCAGAGTTCAAGCCCCATGACCAACAACAACAACAAAAATAACTAAATAACTAATAAAGCATGTATCCAATGTTTGTAATAAAACCAGGCTTGCATAATGAAAAGCAATGAGAAATTTCTCCCCTACCCACAAATACCAAAGAATAACAGATTCCTCCCCACCGCCAACTAAGACAAAATAAAAACTAAGACATTTCCAAGAGTTTTTATCGCCTACATGTCTATGATCTTATTTAATGCTTTCATATGCTACTACTTCTGCCTTCTTTTGACAACTTCTGAATTTCAGATGCTCTCTTAGCATCAGAAAATGCTTCTTCTTAGTAGTCTTTTAAAGACTATATATCCTTCTCATAACTAAGTATACAATTCCTGGGTAACTATGCTATCCCACAGAAAGGAAAGAGAAAATCCTAGAAAGTGAAACTTTCTCCTTTTCAAATCATTACCCTTTGTTATGATTTGGTATCAGTTATTAGTACAAGATACCAACAAGCATAAATAAAAAGGAATAACTCAGCATCCCCACACCCTTTCCACATTATTTGACCAACTGCCTGAAGTATTAGCAGAACATTTTTCATGCTTAGTCACAAATGGAAGCCTAGAATAGCCATATTATAACTTTTTTTTACTTAACAGAAAAGAACTGCACACAAAATGATTTAACTGCACTCCTTTTAAGGGCTACATAGTATTCTGTCACAATGTAGTCAGTTGGCTATTCCTGCTGTGAAAGAGTCTGTAGCCATCACAAACTCTGGGGGAAGTTTCCAACTGAACTTCTTCTTGCAGAAGCATCCCTTCCAAGTCCTCAAACCTCCCTAAAGCAACCACAATGTAGGCTCTAACACCTCTGCATTCACCCGTGGACAGAACTACAGTATCCAACAGTGTTCCATCAGTGGAGCTGATACAAACCTGACAGCAGGGAGAGGCAGCCAGGATATCATAGGTGTACATGGTGCCCAGCTGGTGCCAGCTGCCATCCCACCGAGACTTACACTTGATGCAGATGATCTTGTGAACCCCTTCCAGGCAATCCACACACACTGCGTACAGATGCATGAGTCTCCCTGTACACAGAAGACACAAAACTGAGAATGACCATCATAGAAATCACATTTTGACTCCAAAGGGGATTTAAAAATGCCTCATTTACCAATTATTAGCAAACATTTGATCATTTGGATGAATATAAAATAAAAATAAATGGTAATATTTAGGACAAGCAGAAAAAGTCAAAAGCTATGTACATATGACCATGTAAGATGATGCTAAGCAAAATGAACCCCAAGATAGGGACACAAGAGGTTTTATCTTTCTTGCTGTTTTTTTAATGTACTTATCGTACTATGTGATTTTTTTGTTTATTTTTTATGTTCTTCCCCTATGGTATAACCCCTGTTTTCATTGTATTTGATTCTGGTACCCTGCATCTTGTATATACATTTTTCTAATTTGGGAAAGGGAAGGGAAGTAACAAAATGCTGAAATAAGGATAGAGGCTGACCCACTGTAGCAATAAGATATACAAGACACTGTGTTGAAAATGAACTTTACAACTTCAGGGCGGGAAAGGGGAAGGGGGAAGGAGTTGGGGAAGTAGGGAAGGAAGGGATGGTAGGGGGAAAACAAAGAAGGGGGTAACTGCTCAATAGAAATGTACTCATTACCTTACTCATGTAACTGTAACCCCTCTGTGCAGTATCTTTAGATTTTTTTTTTTTTTGCTTATGTGGTGCTGAGGAATCGAACCCAGGACCACAGGAATGCAAGGCAAGCGCTCCACCACTGAGCCACCTTCCCAGCCCCTGTGCAGTATCTTTATAATAAAAAATATATTTAAAAATGGTATTTACCACACATTCTCAAGCTGTGCTTTTAGAATAATGCAAAACTATTGTCAACAGAATAGGTAATTTAAGTTCACACTTATTAAAATATATTCAATTTAGTTTAAAATTTGCTTCATTTTAGTTTAAAATATGTTGCCAGGTTTACATCATTTGTCCATCCAAACTCAACTAACAAACCCCCATGTGCTCAAAAACTAGCCTGTAATTAAACACAGGACTTTGATCAAACGTCTATGTGCGGCACAGCGTGATCCAGCCACACGTGTCATCATGAGTGCTCACCCACAAGATTCATTATCAGAAAGTTGAGTCTGCCTTGTAATTGATGGCCTACAACTACGCCGCAGTAAAAATCATCATTAAGTGTCCTTGTCCCCAAAACTGTGCAACTATTGCCATGTCTAATTTAGGAACCAGAATTACTTCTAAGTGGTTTAAGTTTGATGTCTTTTCATTTATTTGGCTCTCAAAAGTCACAACTTCATCCCTTTGTTATTTATAAAGATCTCAATACTTATAAAGGAAAGGTGTCCCCATAATTTATATGGAATGATTAAGTGTTCAAATAACAGGAGTTAGAATGCCTAGAGTCTGCCTGCACTATGTGTAGAAGCCACAGCTCTCTGCCTTGAAAACAGTTGCCAGAACACACACTCAACAGTGGTTGCTTACTTAGAATAGGCTGCTTACTGCCTAGTAAGTCAGATGGCAGGTTTTCACCATTCTGTGGAAAGACACATAATCATCTTTTAAAGGAATCCTTTCATTGTATTTGTTCACATGATTCTCACTCTCCTTAATGCAGGACCTATGTTTTATTCATCCTTGTAAACTTAGTGGCCATCATAATGTCTGGAATGAGGTGAGTACACCTAAATGTATACCAGATAAATTGATGTATCAATATCCTAATATTCAAATAAACATTAACCTTGGGAGCCTCTATGCCAAAAAATAGAGAGTAACAGGAGGTTTTTGCAAAACTACCCATCTTTGTTCTAGGACACTGAAAGTAAGGTCTCACATGCTGTATCTACTCTGAGTGGCCTAGGGGCCTGTCAAGAAGTCAGTTCAAGCATTCATATGCTACTGAAAAATACCTCATTTCAGTTTCCCTCCCAGGTCTACACATTAAAGTTCACTACATCCAGTATTGCACAGGATGCTGCAGGCTGGGAAGACAAGGCCAGACACAGAAGTCAGATGTTGATAATTGCCATGATGATGAAGACAATAAGTAACGTTTACCATGTGTTTACCAAGGGTTTGAACTGTGCTGTAAGCACTGAGTCATTTCATTTCCCTCTAGTTGCAACAGTACAAAACAGGCCTTTCTTGCTACTTTGGACAAGAGGAACTGAGTGAAGTTCAGAGAGTTTGAGCAATTTGTTCAAGGTTCACATAGACACTAAGTAGCAAAGTCCAGACATACTTAAGTCTATCTGTGTTCTTTACTTACAGGTAAATACCTAGGAAGGCTTGGCCCAGACTAAGGCTCTGGATTTGCTTTTAATTAGAATTATACACTGTCCTAAGAGAATAATGTATTTCTAAATCCTAGGACACAGTTTTGTTTGTGAGTTCAAACAAAAGCTGATTCCTAAGAGATTATCACATGTGATACTGAGTGGAAAGCCCAGAGAGACTGTTCCAATTAGACCAATCTTAATAAATCATTACAACCAAACAAAACATTTTTTGAGTAGAAAATAGGGGCTAAAGGCTGTAGAGAGGGGTGTCAAAGGAAAAGGCAAGGGAATAATAATCTACAAGGTTTACTGTGATAACAGCAAGTATTTCAGCAACATATAATCAACTGTAAACTGTGGAATCCTGTGGCCTGGAATGTGGTTTTTCTATTGGAGATGAATAGTTTAGAGGATACAAAAGAAAGAAATGATTTATATAAGCTAGCTGTTGATCACGGAGACCTATCTGAGATGCAACAATAAAAACCACTGTCTTGCCAGACACCAGATGTTCATGCTTGTAATCCTAGCTATTCAGGAGGGTGAGATCTGAGGATTGCAGTTTTGTAGCCAACTCACACAAGAAAATCCATAAGACTCTTATCTCCAATCAACCACAAAAAGCAAGAACTGGAGCTGTGGCTCAAGTGGTAGAATGCTAGCCTTGAACACAAAATCTCAGAGATAGCACTCATACCCTGAGTTCAAGCCCCAGGAAGTACACTGCCTGCTTAGCAAGTATGAAGCCAAGTTGAAACACCAGTACCTCAAAAAAAAAAAATGTAAAAGGTAATGTTCAATACTTTAAATTTCTATTCATAAAACACCTTGCAAAGCTCTTAACTATAGCCTGAAAGGATCCCACGATCCTCTTCCTACCTTGTCTACGCATTTCCCAATGAAGAACATCTCTAACCAAATGGTTCCCTCCGTACCTCCTATCATGACCTATCTTTTTTCTTTTAACCACCATTCCTTTGCTCCCACTGCACAATCCATTAACAAAAAAAAATACCTGTTTGTGGCCAGACTCTGCTTTTCAAACCCAGACAACCTCTTAATATCTGCCTTCCCATTGCCACCTAAGACTAACAAGTCTATACAGCCCTTTTTTCCTTGAAAATTTTACAATGTTTCAATTAATACTTACATGCTACTAATTCTACATGTGGTGCTATATGCAGCCTTTGGTGTGGCAAAATTAGCTACATTTTATAAAAGCATCTTATGTCCTGAGATAATATACTTATGACAGAAGTAAAAACTGGTATTACTCAACACCTATACAAAATCCTTAAGTTTGATCGACTGATAAATGGATTGCATCAAAAGAATTTGTCCATCATAAATAGGAAACTGCAACTCTCACATACACTAGTCTATGTATCATCAATTTGTCTTCACAAAGAATGGTCAAGTTTTTAAATAGTGTTTTCACCCATTTCCCTGTAACACTACCAGCAAACACGATAAAGAATAGGGAAAAATAACCCCCACAAACTCAACCTTCAATGAGGTACCTGGAACCCTCTATTCATTAACCAGTGTGTGTCTCCCTACCTTGCCTAACCTTCATGATATATATAAACAAGCCTCATACTGTTGGGAAGATATTAATTATAATAGTCCTTATGGAAAACAGTATTAGGTAATATACAATATTAGGTAATATACCTAACAGTTGATACTTCGTATAAAGCATTAAAATCAGAATTAGCTTACAATCCAGCAATCACATTACTGGATATGCAGCTAAATGAAATGAAATCAATATGTCAAAGAGATATCTGCACTCTCATTTTCACTGAGTTATTCACAGTAGCCAAAACATGGATTCAACCTAAGTGTCCATCAACAGATAGATTTAAGAAAACATGGTACGTTTACAATAAAACACTATTCAGACATAAAATGATGAAGTTCTGTCATTTGTGGCAACATGATGGAACCGGAGTACATTATGTGAAGTGAGATAAGCAAGGCACAGTAAGACAAGTATCGCAGAACGTCACTCAGCTGTGGAGTTCTTGTTATACAAAAACCTCTATACATCTCACAGCTGTGTAGAGAAGAATTTGGTTAGCTAAGGCTGGGAAGGGTAGAGGGGTGAGGTAAAAATATCAGATAGGATGAACAAGTTCTTGTATGCTCTTGTACATTAAATAACTATAGCTAACAATATTGTATTATATTTTTCAAAATAACTAGAAAAGAAGATTTGAATGTTCTTGCCTCAAGAAATAATAAGAGGGGCTGGGGGTTTAGCCCAGCAGAAGGGCGCCGCCAGGAGTGCGCAAGGCCCTGGGTTCGGTCCTCAGCCCTGGGGGGGAAAAAAAGCTACAAAAGAAATAATAAGACTGTGAGATAACTGATACCCTAAATATCCTGATCTGTTCATTATACAGTGTATGTATATGTCAAAACATTACATTGTACCCCTTAAGAGATGTATGATCATTCTGTATCAATTAATAAAAAATCTTTAAAAGCCCAAAATAGCCTGCTGGAAGATGAAACACTACAAAGACCACAGATGACTCATCCCGCCTGAGGCCCAATGCTACCTAGTCTGTAAACAGTGAGATGCATCTGAGAGGCCGTGCTAACCACCAAGACAAAGAACTGTAAGAAATCCCTAATTGCTAACTTTCAGAGTAATCAGCTTTGTAACAAAGACTAACTGACCTAAGGAGTTAGGTAGCACTCTCAAAAAAAACCAAGAAACAACATAAAAAACCTATTCCCTTCAGCTTCAGCTCTGAAAGACAACAGACATTATCTCCAATAATAAGGGTGTTATTTAAGAGTTCTTGAAATTTAAAAATACAAAAACAGAAGCCAATGAAATCTTCCAGAAAGCATAATATAGACACAGACAACACACTTGGAAGGGAAAAAGAAAAGGATTCCCCCTTCCATGAAAAAAAAAAAAAAAATCAGCCAGGCGCTGGTGGCTTATGCCTATAACCCTAGCTACTCATATCTGAAGGAGGTTCAAACCCAGCCCAGGCAGAAAAATCTGTGAGATCTTATCTCCAATTAAGTACTACAACAGTCTGAAGTAGAGCTGTGGCTCAAGTAGTAAAACAATAGCCTTTGAGGGAAACAAGCAAACAAACTTAGGGACTGCCCAAGCCTGAGTTCAAGCCCCAGGAGAGGTACCAAAACTAAAATAATAGTAATCATATTCATCATCAACATCATCATCATCATCTAAGAGATTGGATATTTTATTAATATGAGTTGTTTTTTAAAAGTATAAATAAAAGGAGAAAATTATCAAAGAAATATAAAAGAAAATTTCTCCAAAGTCAAGATCCTAAGATTCTGGAGTGAAGACACTAAGACAGTATAGAGCATGGTGAGTAGAGGGAAGGTAGAAGGAAAGGACAGTATTTTGGTGGGATTGTAGAATACCAGAGATATAGAGAAAAATTAGCTGAGCATGGCAGTGCAACACCTGTAATTTCAGCACTTGGGAGCAAGAGAAAGGACCACTATAAATTCAAGGCCAACCTGGGCTACCAAGCAAGTTCCAGGCTGGACTCAGCTAAAACTCAGTAAAACTCCTATCTCAAAACATACCCAAGAGAAAGAGAAGGAAAGAAAGAGAAAAAGGAGAGATAAATTAAACCTTCAAGGAGGAAGGAAATAAGGAGAGGAATAAAAAGTTGGAGAACAGCAAAGTCTTGTAGACTCTTCTGAATAAAGTGGCCTCTTCTGCCACAAGTGTGATCCTCTAGATGACAGTCTTTTGAGTAGCTAAGATTACAAGCATGAGCCACTGGCACCTGGCAAGAAATTCCAGTTATCTTTGAATTTACTGTCTCTATAATAGGAAATATACCCATATGTCTTGTTTCAACACTAAAAACATTAAGGATTTAACTAATCATTGTAATATACAGAAAGGAGGATATGTAGTCATCTCATGTTGAAAACAAGTCCACAGATAACATCTGAAATTGGAGAATAAAGATAACAGGGAGTGACAGGGAGAAAGCAGTCAAAACTCATTGTATATACCTTAAAAGAAGGGGAAGGGTGAGTCAAAGTGGGGTGAGAATGAGGTCGGGATGACACTGACTGAGATGCACTGTATTCATAAACTGCTTTGTTAAATGATACCTCCTTTGTATAAGTACTTAAGATGGTAAGAAATAGAAATAAAATATCAAACTTCAAAAAAAATGAAAAATCATTGTTTATCCCTGGGGTTGGAGACCTAGAGTTTTATTTGGGGGGTCGGTCATAGAGCTTGAACTCAAGGCCTGGGCACTGTCTCTGAGTTATTTTGCTCAAGGCGAGCATGCTACCACTTTGAGCCACAGTGCCACTTCCAGTTTTCTGTTGATTAACTGGAAAGAAGAGTCTCATGGACTTTCCTGTCCAGGCCGAGTTTGAACCTCAGTACTCAGATTTTGGGCTCCTGAGTAGCTAGAGTAGCTAGAATTACAGGTGTAAGCCACCTGTGCCAGGATTATTTTTCTTAGCATACATTTAAAGTCATGAATATATTATACATGATGCATTTCATCTTTGTGGAAATTCAGTAGTTTCATAAGAATAGACATAGTTCACACTTGTACTAACCCTATCATTAGACTTACAACTGAAACGTGCTCAAGTTTCCCCAATGCTCTAAGCCAAGATAACTTCTGAATTGTTTAGGGGTTTTTGGCTTTTTGTTTTTTTTGTAGGACAGGTTGTTTTTTTTGTTTTTTTTTTCATTTTAATAATATATCTTTATTGTAAAAATACTGTACAGAGGGAAGGACAGGTTGTTTTATTGCTTCCTGGACTCTGAATTTTCTAAGGTCATCCCAAAGACAAAGAAGAATAATGAATGATGGACACTAGCAAGCTGGTAAGAAAAGAGACTTTTCAGTAGAGTAATTTTCTTAGAATCACAAAACTAACTGTTTCATATTCTCTATCCATCTGTATTCTGGCTAATACATACATCTAAGCCCCTTTTCTGTTCAGTGGAATTCTTATCCAGAATTAGAATCTTTACATAAACTATCAATTTTAACTCCTGAGTTTTTATTAATCCTCCATTTTCCTTTTGATGTTACCCGTATAATTTCATCTTTCATAATTTCAAAATTAGCTCAACTAATCTGAAAACACATTGTCCCTTCTTTCCCCACTTTCCCTCATTGCTGGGTATACATAGATCAAAGCTTTCCAGGTTATTAAATTGGGATTCAAAAGGAACTATTTTATAGCAAGGAGAATAATGTAATTTCTTCTCCAAATGTCTTCCCAATTATGAAGAACTATAGACCAGTACTTCTTTCTTCAAATCAAAGTAGAACGAAAACATAAAATTACCCAGGAGGCTAACTGCACTTGGTACAGTGACTGCAGTGTACCAAAACCACCACCACTTCCTCCCTGGGTGAAGCTGAAATACTCACATTACCTACCACATGACTAGAACAAAAGTATAACATCAGTTAAACTAAACCCAAACAGAGCAATTCCATCTTATTTGCTTTGGGGTTTTAACAAACAGAAAGTAGGCAAGGTGAACCAACACCTCTACCTTGAAGGTGACAAGGAACATCATATTCGATCTCATCATGTCTCGAGGGGCTTAAGAACAGAGTTCCATCCACCAGTGGGAACTGTTCAAAGACAGGCAGTGTCCGGTGGCACAGAGCACAGTTTACAACGTTTCGGTGGCTGGCACTGAGGGCCGTGAGGATGAACTTCCGCAGATCCTCTCCCTGGCCTACTTGAGCATCATCTTCCATCCGCACGTGGAAAGTGTTCAGCTTATGCCTGGGGATATGAGTGAGGAGCTCAGAGAGGTCCAGCCGCCGCAGAAACTGTACAGGAGTGTCAAAATGTCCTCCCCTGTGAACAGATAACCCAGCTGGACTATAATCAAAGTGGGCATTTCTGAACACATGGCCCCCAGCCATGGCCCTTTTGTGAGGCTCAAGATGGATGGCATTTTTTAAGAATTCTCCAAGGTATCTGGAGGAACGAGGACCACTGAAGTGGGCAGGAGAAAGGATGGAGTAGCCAGTTGGGGGTGACTGGCCAGGGGAGCCACAAGGGGAACGGGCACCATAGGCTGCAGCACTGACTGCTTTCTCCTGGGAGTTCTGCCGGTCCATGGAATGCCGACGGGGGAGGTCATGGTTCAGGCCTTTCTGGGGCTTGTTCGGGGGTCTGCACTTTTTTGCCTCCTCTCCAGCCTCCCCTGGAGGCCTCCCTGTGTTCTTCTCCAACCCAGACTTCTTCTTTTTCTCATCCTGCATCCGCTTCACCTGGTACCAGTCTGTGTCTTTCTTTAAGTGGCCCTGCCCACAGCGGCAGGAGCAGAAGCGGAAAGCCAGGTCGTAGCCCTTCTTGGTCCACATGTTCTGGCGGCACTGCTTCTCATTCCAGCTGCGGGCGCGGCCGATGCAGTTGAACTGGGCCAGGATGCTGCTCTCCCACTCATAGAAACACTGCAGGTGCATCCAGGTGCTGTAAGGACAGTGCTCGTTGTTGCACACCACCTTCTGGTAGTCGTCCTTCTCCAGGTCCACAGGCCTCCCAAAGCTGCAGATCAGGGGCGTGGCACAGGGGGCTTCTGGGAGAGACACAAAAAGAAACAGAGAGATTCAGTACAGGACTCCACAACTCCAGTGGATACCAATCCAGAAAGCAATTCTGCCATCTGCTTTAGTCCACTCATGCCAAAGGTACACCACAACTGGAGCAAACACCAGACAAATTTAGAAAGATGTTGCGGTGCCACGGAGACATGTTTTCTGATATTTGTTATTTGATGAAAAACATATCTGAATCCTTCACATTGCAGTTGTGTGTCAGTACTTGAGACCGCATGGGGTGAGGTTTTCCTAAGATGTGGGTGCAATGAGAGGCACCCAGAGTTTCTTGATTCCTCCAGGGAATCAAGATTTAATATGAAGCTATTTAACCAATCAGTTCTGGTGGCCTCTCCAAAAGAGCTCTGGAGGCACTTTATCACCAGCTTTAAGCTGTCTTGAATACTAGACAAAAACTAGAAAACAGACCAGCCTCAGCACTAATTCTCTTCCAGAGTGGTCTGATGACCTAATGACAGAGATATCTGGTCAAATTAATTGTTGATCTACATAGAATTCCATTGCTGAGTTGTGAAGAAAAAATAAATTTCTCTCAAATTTCTAGGATAGAAAGCAAGAATAATGACAATTCTATACTATCTCAAGCACATGTCTACATACAAGTGCCAAACAGCCAGGTAAGTGCCCAGAAATAAAGAAAACATGAGGCACAAAGCAGATCATGATGCTTCAGAAGTTAACATGATAAATGAAGACTCACCTCCACTGAATTCCTCTAACTGCTCAAGGATAACTAACATTTGACTTTGAACTTTTTTTATATTTTTAGTTTTAAGTATCAAAAAGCATGTGATGATGCCGGGCACCAGTGGCTCACACCTGTAATCCTAAGCTACTCAAAAGGAGATCTGAGGATCACGGTTCAAAGAAAGCCCAGGCAAGAAAATCTGTGAGACTCTTATCTCCAATTAACCACCAGAAAACTGGATGTGGGGCTGTGGCTCAAAGTGGTAGAGTGCCAGCCTTGAGCTGAAGAGCCCAGGGACAGTGCCTAGGCCTAGAGTTAAACCAACAACAACAACAACAAAAAAAAAAAAAAAAAAAGCACATGATAGAGACAAGAAAACAGAGCAGGTTACCAGGAAGAAAGAGAGAGGGACAAACAAGTAGAGTATAGAGAATTTTTAGGGCCATGAAGCTGATCTGTGTGATATAATAATGGTAAGCATATTTGTCAAAATCCACAAAATGTACAATTAGCAGTAATGAACTTTAGTTTTAATTACAGAATTAGTAATAACATATCAGTATATAGACCCATTGATTCTAATACATGTACACACATACACACTAAAAAATGTTGACAGTGGGGGAAATTTTGAATGTGTGTGGGTAGACAGCACATGGGAACTTTAAATTTTGTCAAGCAAAACCTACTAGTATTCTAAAAAATAAAATCTATTTTTTTAATGAGGGGGGAAAATAAGTTTAAGTTCAGGTTTCATTAGAAGACTAGCTGTGCAAACCATACTGGTTCTGTTATTTCATTTTGAACTTCTCAACTATAGTTGTAATTATAGTGTCTACCTTATAGAGATTTTGGTGAGGTTTAAGTAAGTGCTTATAAAGAATTTAGCACTGGACTTGGCATACAGGGTTTACTAATGTTATTGTTCTCATTAGCTGATCTTCACAATACAGCTTAAGATACTTTCATTTGTAGAAGGTGCCGAAGTTCTAAACCAGAGATGGAAAACTGGCCAAAAGTAGGTCCAAACTAAGAAACAAGGAGCCTGGCAGTACAAGGAGAATGGAGAAGACTCGAGCTATGATGAGAAAGGAGACTCAATACCACCGGCCCAGGAAGAGAAGGCCAGCACAAAGAACAAGCAACCGACAGGTGTCCCCAGCTGGCATTCCCTGCATGGCCACAATTTCCAATCCAGTTCATCACTCCCCTTCAGTTCCTCCCCACACTTCTGTGCACTACCGTCCCTCTTTCGCCTACCACTCCCCAAATAAGCATCTCCTGGACCAGCATCTCTTTTCACTTCTGTAGGTAGAAACTAAAAATTACAGTTTTCACTCCTTTACTCTTCATGTAGTGCAACTGGCCAGTGCATTACAAGAAGTTAGCATCACTAGACTCTGAACACTTAATATGTGCAATCCCCACCTATACTACCTACCCCCCCCCCCCGCCCAGCCCTACTTTCCCAGGACAACCCAAAGTCCATAACACTTTCAAGGGGCTCCTCTGAATACTGCTCCTCACTAGGAATTACTGGGTTCCATGTGCTATGTGCAGAAACACAGATGACATCTGCAGTATGTGAGGCATCAAGGGAGGACTCACAGCCTCAGGGCTGTTTTGATGACTGTCAGAGCATGAAATACATCAGGACTGATACAGGAGGGGCAGGTATGGACAAAAGACAACTTTTGAGCTGATGCCCGGTGGCTCACATCAGTAATCCTATCTACTCAACAGGCTGAGATCTGACGTTTGAGGTTCAAAGCCAGTTGGGCAAGAAAGTCCACAAGAATCTTACCTCTAACTACCAAAAAAAAAACAAAAACAAAAACCAAAGTCGAAGTAGAGCTCAAGTGGTAAAAGCACTAGTCTCGAGAAACAAAGCTAAGGAACAGCACTTAGGCCCTGAGTTCAAGCCCCAGAACAGGTACCAAAACAAACAAACAAAAACAAAGACAGCTTTCGGCTGCCCTTGCTTGGACCTACTGAGGAGGGAAGTGCTCATGTAACACCAATATGGAGAAAGACATGAACATGACAGAAGCTCAAAAGTAAAGATGTAGAATCAGACACCCTGACACACAAGATACATCACTGGAATCCAAGAGATACCCAAGGGGACCATGGGCAGGAGCAGAAATAAGAAATGAGAGACTGGGAAAAGAATCCTGAGCAGCAAGAGTTGGCATCACAACTGGAGTACGAAAGTCCTTCATAGAGATTGCAAAGGGAGCAACTAAGAATTCACTGGCAAGTCAAGAGAGAACTTTGTGAAGTCAATCAGGGAAAAGTTCTAAGAATGGAAACCTATAATGTCCCCACAGTACCAGGTAAAAGATTTCTCAACCTCCTCAATATCAACATTTTGAGAGCTAGTAATTCCCACTGTGGGAGCTATCCTATGTTTCATAAGACCTTTAAAAGCTGCATCCCTGCCTTCTACTATAGGTGCCAGTAGTTCTGCCTCCCTCATCTTTTATACCTGTCTCCAGACATTGCCAGATACCTCCTAAGAGGAGTTGAGTACTATTAGATAAAATAGGCCTGAAAAGCCCATGCAGAATGCGCAGTGGAGAGGCACTGTCTCCTCATGAGGACAGTTCTGGCAGCAGGATGAGGAGAGAAGTTGGGAGGCCAACAGTAAGGAACAAGTAGCAAGATGAAAAGGTAGAAAATGGACGGATGACTGCCCAGAAAACTATTTCCAGAAGTGTAACCTTGAAATGAAGAAAACAAAATGGGCAAAGGACAGAAGACAGCAAAAGCTGAGACCTATGCAGGCTCAAAAATGGGGGAAAGAAATGCTACAATCGCAGGACAGCTTGAAGAAAGGGAACAACCAGTATAGCTTGCCTATTCAAGAATGTTCATGACTTCACTGCTGCCTACCAAATAATCATTACAACATCCCACCAAATGCATCACCACAGATGGTGGGACTTTTTAAAGCCTGTGAAAATATTAGCCATGACTACTGTGAGTTAAAATTATCTCTTTTAGTATGGGCTTCCAGAACCTTGGTAAAATATCACTAAACCAATTTGTGTGCCTCTGTGTATCCAATCACTGTGGCTTCCTGATCTACCTGCAGAAGTCCATAACCCTTGATCTTCATTTGTCCTTGATCCTTCGTTTTGTCCAAGACAGAAATTTACAGTATTAATTGCAACAGGACTGCCTACATATCGGTTCCAGTATCATTTATGAACTATATTCCCTGGGATAATCACTTCCATTCATGTCAAGTTTTGTTTTGTTTTTTGTTGGTCATGGGGCTTGAACTCTGGGCCTGGACACTGTCCCTCAGCTCTTCAGCTTGAGGTGACCACTCTACCACTTGAGCCACAGTGCCACTTCCAATTGTTGTTTTTTCCCCCTAGTGGTTTATTGGAGATAAGAGTCTCACAGACTTTCCTGCCTGGGCTGGCATTGAACCTCGACCCTCAGATCTCAGCCTCCTGAATAGCTAGGATTACAGGCATGAGCCACTGGCACCAGGCTTCATATCAAGTTTTTATGTATAAAATGTAGGTAGTAGAACATACCTTACATGGTTGTTATCATGCTGGGAGGGAAAACCCACTCAGGAAGCTGAGATCAGAAGATCAAGGTTCAAAGCCAGCTTGGGCAGGAAAGTCCATGAGACGCTATATCCCCAACTAACCAACAAAAATGTGGAAGTGGAGCTGTAGTTCAAGTGGTAGAGTACCATTCTTGAATAAGAAATCTAAAGGAAAGCCGGGCCTAGATGGCTCACACCTATAATCCTACCTACTCAGGGGGCTAAGATCTGAGAATATCAGTTCAAAGCTACCCAGGCAGAAAAACCCCTGTGATACTCATATCTCCAATTAACCACCAGAAAACTGAAAGTGGTGCTGTGGTTGTAGAGTGCTAGCCTTGAGCAAAAAGAGATCAGGGACAGCACCCAGGCCTTGAGTTTAAGCCCTATGACCACCACCAACAATGACAACAAAAAAGAAAGCTAAAGGAGAGAAACCAGGTCCTGAGCTCAATCAAGCTCTAGTATCAGCACAAACAACATACCATATACACAAAGCCAAGCATTATTAAATTTGCTCCTTCCAAGCCCACATTGAGGCACCAACTACATGAGGGCTCTCTCTCCCCTTCCTCCTGACTTCCCAAAGTAGGGACAGTCTGAATCTTAAGCAGAGGTCATCATTGTGCTCCTGCCAAGTGATGACTATAGAGGTTGCTTCTTAATTATCTTTGTGTTCCTAGCATGGCTTGGCACAAGCCTTG